GCATTCCTGAGGGGTTGGTATTGGGACCGGTGCTGTTTAACATCTTTGTCAGTGACATGGACAGTGGGATCGAGTGCACCCTCATCAAGTTTGCAGACGACACCAAGCTATGTGGTGTTGTGGACACGCTGGAGGGAAGGGATGCCATCCAGAGGGACCTTGACAGGCTGGAGAGGTGGGCCCATGCAAACTTCATGAAGTTCAACAAGGCTAAGTGCAAGGTCCTGCATGTGGGACAGGGAAATCCAAGCACAAATACAGGCTGGGAGGAGAATGAATTGAGAGCAGAATGGAGGAAAAGGACTTGGGAGTGCTGGTGGATGAGAAGCTCAACATGAGCCGGCAACGTGCGCTGGCAGCCCAGAAAGCCAACCGTATCCTGGGCTGCATCCAAAGAAGCGCAGCCAGCAGGTGGAGGGAGGTGATTCTGCCCCTCTACTCTGCTCTCGTGAGACCCCACCTAGAGGACTGCGTTCAGCTGTGGGGCCCCCAACATCAGAAGGACATGGAGCTGTTGTAGCGGGTCTGGAGAAGGGTCACAAAGGTGCTCTGATGTCTGGAGCACCTCTGCTATGAAGACAGGCTGAGAGATTTGAGGTTGTTGAGCCTGGAGAAGGCTCCAGGAAGACCTTCTAGCAGCCTTCCAGACCCTAAAGGGGGCCTACAAGAAAGCTGGAGAGGGACCTTTTACAAGGATGTGTAGTGATAGGACAAGGGGCAATGGCTTTAAACTGAAAGATTTTGATTAGATCTAAGGAAGAAATTCTTCACTCAGAGGGTACTGAGACACTGGAGGAGGGTGCCCAGAGAAGTTGTGAATGCCCCATCCCTGAAAGTGTTCAAGGCCAGGTTGGATGAGGCTTTGAGCAACCTGGTCTAGTGGAAGGCATCCCTGTGCATGGCAGGGGGGTTGGAGCTAGATAATCTTTAAGTGTCTTCCAACCCAAACCATTCTATGATTCTTTGAAAATCATTGTCATGCTGCAGTTAATATATAATTTAATGTCACACCTCCCATCATTAGAATAAAATAGACAAGACTGGGCAAAGTCTTTAAATTACATACTATAGGAAATATAGTGTCGTTTAATTTGCATTTTTGTAGTAAAGGACATTAAGAAGAAGTCATGATTAAGGTTGTTAAGGCCTAAGGCTGAATATAATTGCAGCTGTTAAAGCATATTTGCTGTAATCCAAAGAAAATCAATTTCCTCAGAACTAGTACATTGTCTTAAAACTTTTCAAATGAAGTCTTGGCTATTGAAAAAATTCGTAGACCAACAGTTTGGATTTCTTTTGCTATGCTTGCAAATTTGTATGATAATTTTTCAGTGAGACTGCTGAAATCTTTGTTATAGGTGATAATATGTAAGATCAAAATTATTACTCTAATCTGAAGTATTACTGTGTAAAATAATTTTTGGACGTGTGTAATTTCTACCTCATTTTCAAAAAAAAGGTGATGCTATTCTACGTAGGCTGAGTGTATGGCGCATGTGCCACAACAGAAAACCTGAATATTCAGAATAGAGTTTCAGCATCGTTTTTCCCGTGCTGTAATCTGCTCGAGATTTTTAGGACATGGAGATACTATTGGAAGGATCTGAATTTTTCAAAAAGTGTATATTTTCTTTGCTCTTAAATCTGGAGAGTAAATAAACAAGTGCAGGTCTTTATGTTTCCATTGCATTAGTGGTAAATATATGTCTATGATGCGACGGCGAACCACATGACAGGTTAGATTTAGCATGTGCTTCTGGCAGCCTTGGTTTTGCCAGTCAAGCTGTGTGTCTCTTGGTATTTTCTTTCCTAAATCTCTCAAGGTTCTTCTTTCCATGGCATTAATAGGAGAGTGCTAGTGTGAACTGTTTCCCCTTACCTCTAGTGTCTTTTCCCAACACAGAGTTTTTAATAAACTTTGTACAAGATCTAGTTTGTGTCTCCTGTAATTCTGAGGTGAAAAGGCATCTTGGGAGTTAGGTGCTTTAGTTTCTGTTTTTTCACATTCATTGGGTACAGTGAAACTCTCCGTTACGGAAGTAGTGTTATTACATAAAAAAACTCTTTTTGTTCTGCCTGTATAGAATAAGCACCAAATGCTCTCCATTTGCAAGCAAACAAGGATGTTATGTTTACTAAATCCTCATCTTATTACTGGATTTCAAAATGTAGGCACATTTGCACAGAATGTAGTAGAAGCAAATAAAGCTACATAATAGAAATAATAATATTTCATTAAATAATAAAGCATGTCATATTTAAATGGTCTTAGTTTACATACCAGAAAAATAGTAACAATTATGGTCTTATTCTTGTGCTAAAGTAATTTTGTTTTAACTTTTGAGCAGCTTCCTTTACTTACTTTTTGGGTTTTTTTACAGGCCAGGAATTCTGAAAGACCTGAAGACAATGGGCTCGATTTCTTTGTTTATATTCTTTGTCACATTACTGGTTTTGGGTAGACAGGTAAGATGCACACTTCTCTTCATCTGCATCAGACACACTGCCAGTCTCTACAAGCAGCCTCCCACCTTCTCAAACATTTTTTAAGTTTTCTGACAAACCCCTTTATTCCATTCTGCCCCACACCTTTGCAAAGGTGCGTCAGAAGCATCTAAAAAGCTGTTTTCTTTGTTACCTTCCAGCATGCCCTTAAAACTCACCAGTAACTGTCACTGAGACTGTAGACATTATGCTGATAGTGTGCTGTGACTATTTCTTGTCATGCTGACCAATATTGTCTCATAGCTTCCTAGTGTGCTCCCATCTGTCTGCGTCCATCTGCTGTCTCCCTAGTTGCTTAATTACACGCTATTTTCTTCACAGTTATTACCATTTGATATAGACACAAAAACAATGTAGCATGCACACACCAGTGTACCACATGCTGAGGCCACAGTTGCACTAAAACTATGACCCAACAGGAAACTACTCTTTTTATTACCCAGTTGTGCTTTTTCAGTACAAACGTGATGTCAATGGTCTTACCCTTTACAAAGTCGAGGGCAGATGCAAGGGCAGTTCTCTCTCTAAATCCTTGGGTTTGTACATGATCCATGGCTAAAAGCTGCAATTCCAGCCTGTTGTGCCAGGAACGATGTAGCCAGCTCTGAGATGGAAGAGGCAAGCCATGTGAAATCTCAGGAACAGCCTGTACCCCAATAGCCTGCAGCCTTGGGAAGGATCTTATCCCATACTGTCTTCAAATCACTCGTTTACATTACAATTCCCCAAAACATAGTGACTGTCATTTAAATTGCCAAGCAGGCCCTGCAGGTTACCAGACAAAAAATTCTTATTTGGCAGCTTCTCCAGTACGTGCTATAGTGGAGAACATCCTTCTTGAGTTAGTAATAACGCTTTTCATCTGCCTTGCTGTCAGTGCAGCATTAGAGTTTGCATTTGATGACAGTAGCAGAGAGTGGGGCTAGAGCACAGCTACTTCCCCTAGGAAAGAGGGATAAATACTTCATCCCATCAGTTGAGAACCTTTAGTCCCTGTCAACCAAGGTGTCAGATGGAGGTGGTGAGAAAGAATGTCCTCTTCACTGGGCAAGGAGAGTATTTCTTTGTGGGTTCAGTCACGTCAACAAGAAAGTTTGTTTTGCACACAACAACAGTGCACACATCAATTGAAAGATGATCCTGTAATGGAAAAAGTCTTTGTTTTCAGAGCTGTAGGTTCAGGATCTTTGTCATGATACCTCTTGTTTGTGGCTCTTCAGTCTGTTCCCTTTGATTTTTCTGCCAATTTATTCTCCCTTAAAGGAGGAGAAAAAAACCTCTGTATTTTCAGACGCTCGCAAGCAAAGTCTAAATGATAACTACAAAATGTTATGAACTAATTTGAATACATACCTGGCATAAGACCTGCCATTTTAAGTTACTGTTAGTAACACTGACTGGTACCACATGCTTGGGAAAAGAAGAGGGGAGGAAGTGAACCTGTGTAGAGCGACCCTTCCAGGTACATATGCTTCCCACTTTCTGCCAGTCAGCATTTCTGTGGCAGCTTTCAATAGCTGTTGGTTGCTCTGCTTTCTGTTACACTGTTTGATCCTTTTTAACCTATTTTATCTTCCTTGTCTTCCCAACACTGCCTGATAATGAGTTTCACAACTTGATAAAAAGTCATATGAAAGTATCTGTCTCTTGTTTATTTTTAAACTTTCTGCTTACTACTTTCATTGAGTGCCACTTGCAGAACACTGTCGAGCCATCCTGGCACTGTAGGCAAAGTAAAATTCTTCCTTACTCTTCTTCCACAGAGGGTAATACACAAGTAATTTCTCTGTTCACATTTGCATTTTTCTACTTTGCAGATAACAACATGTCTTTTCTCTTAATATCTGATTATTTAAACAATGCTAAAGATAATAGCCACTGATGAAAAGTGGTCTTTCCATTTCCTTTAAGCTGGAATTGGTGCTTCAATGTCCACAGAGTGAGTAACCAGAAGGTTAATCTATGCAAAAAGTGAATGCTTTCCTACAAGTCTAACTCTGTGCACCTGCTCACCACCCGTCAGAGAGATGTCTGTCCTGATGGAAAAACAGGAGGAGGAATGTGTGTCTGGTTGAATGGGATTGAAGAGAGGAAGAACTGGTATATGATCAGATGTTATATGAGCCAACATAATTCTCAGGTTCAACTAATACTTTTAGCTGCACAGCCAGCATCCCTACTGAAAGAAGTAGGCTTTCCCTCAGCTACTCATTCTTATCCTTATATCTCCTCATTTGTACTGGCACAGCTGCCTGTGGAGCTGTATAGTGGCCCAAAATAGTGAAATGATCTGGCTTAAAAATTAACCCTGGAGAAATGGTTGGTTTTCAGCCAGATCTGTTTCCTGATCTGGTTTTATGGTGTGGCTGCAGCAATGCTTGTGCCAAAAAAAAATGAGCATAGTGTGAGTAAGGAGCCAGAAGTGAGGTGGAGAAAATAGAACTGCTTCTTTTGATGGTCATGCCAGCACAGGCTACAACCATTCCCTTGCACTGAGGTCAAGTGATGCATTTCATTCAGCATGCATGCCATTAGAGTTATTTGAAAATAGGCTGGTAGCAGACAGATGATATATTGAGAATGGCAGCTCTTGCACCCTGCCCAGGCATTGCCTGGGAGAATGCAGATTTGTGTGTAAGGAGCATGCTCACATTTAAGCATTATTGAGCATTAAATCTCTCTTATGGCCCAGTTTGAATTACCGGTATTGACATAGCCTGTGAATTCCTTTCTCATCAGTACCTAAAATTACACCTATCCCATTATTCTGTAGGCTAGGTGAATATTTTGTTTTTCCCGTGACTGATTATATTGTGTTTATCAACACTGAACTTCATTGGCTGTTTTACTGCCCAGATGTTTATGGCAACTTCCTTCAGCTGTGAAAACTCTGTATTTGTAGTCTGTTCATTTTTTTAGTGAGCTTTTATTCTGTGAGAGGATCCTTCTCTTCTTAGATAATGTAGTCTTTTCAAGAGCCTCTTCTGAAAGAATTTAATGAAAACTTAGTTCAGACTTCACTCCTATTCACATGCCCATTGCCTTCCTTGTAACAGATGGAGGCATGTTTACAGGAGAGGCATCAACTCTTCCCCATTGTATCAGCTTTATTTGTCTAAATAGCTCTTTTCCTTAGCATAGTTTTTTTCCAAAGTACCTTGCTCTATTGTTCCCAGGGTCACCTCAGTTCCTTTCCAAAGATTTGCATTTTATCCTTACCATTTGTCAGTTCTCTGACACTGTGACTGGTTTGAATGATCAGGCTATTCATCACAAGTTTCAGACCAGCAGCTTTTCATTTTGGTTACTTTAAAGCTGATGACTTCTTGTTGATCAACTTATTAATGTATTCTAAGACATCTTCTGCTGATGCTCCATATTGAAACAGTTTCTCAAACTTGCTGTCTGTAAGGGCTGTGAGGTGGAATATCCTTAGCTCTCTCATCTGAATGAAAACCCAGGTTTAATTTCTAGTGATCTTACCTACTTTAGTGCTGCCTTTGCTGCCCCTTTGCTGAATGCTATAGCGTTCGTCTCCCCTGACTGTAGACACCTACGGCATAGGCAGCTACTCTTGAGTTGCTTATCTTGACTTTCTATGTGACATTCATTCAGTGAAGAGAATTGGTTCATTGCCTCACTCAGGCAAAAATTGAAAATAGACCCAGATGAGTGTCCCACTAAAATTAAAAAATATGGATAAACCCATCTCTGTGCAATCAATGAGACATGAATCAGTTCTTGTTGCACTTAGCTGTTTTTGTCCAAGAAGTTACCACTGATTTGGGCCTCTGGGGTTGCATTGCATTGCCTTGCACAGGTGCGTGGTAGTCTCTTGTCCTTCCTGGAGGAAGCCAATTATCCTGTGGTGCCTGGAGGAACAGTGTCCTTCATGCCTCCATGGGTGTTCCGCTATGCTCACCCGCTGAGAAGTGCTGTCAAGTCAAGCGGCATAAGGTGAAGGAGAATTTTGTGTGTCTCAAGAGTATTGTGCCTGCAGATGTATAAGGGCTGTTCTGAGATATTTTCATTCTTATATGTTGAAAAAGTTCTAGAGGTAACATGTAAAGTAGGAACCAATCTTGGTTTTCATATGACTGCAAGGCTACAAAGATTGAACAGGATCTTTAATGTCATGTATACTAAATTGGCTAAATCATACAAACAAAAAACACAATTTAAAGTAAATTTTAATAAGGTAGTGCTTTTTTGTTTTCAAAAGTCTGAACAGGCATTTTGAAATATGATACGTTGAATTTTTTAATTTCAATACAAATCATAGAATACATTCTGCTTTAGTTTTTCTGATTTCTGAGTTCTCTGCCATTTTTTGTGGCAGCCTAAATTTCATTCAATAAATAATAAAGCAGTAAATAAATTATCTGTTTAATGCTAGCTCTTAAAGAAGAAACATATCTTTTGAAGACTTCGGCTTATCTAGAACCATTTCTTTTTAATACAAAGTTGGTACAATGTATGGATACCTAATTTGAGTTTTATGCCAGGCATCCAGCTTACTTTTGTCCATTTATGCAAATAATTTTGACATCCCAGGTTTTTATTGGATTTTTTTCTGCATGAATACATTTGATGGCATTTGAATTTATCATCTATGTGGGGAACTTAGATGTATAAATATATAATATGCATATTTAAAAGCTTGCCAAATCATTTTAATACCATCTCATTTCAACTTTCTACTCTATCTTTGGCTGTAATCTCAACGAAATATCTGTGAATCATTCTGAGCTGTGACAGCCACTGTCCAATAAGAAGGACTGTTCTCATTTTGATGTGAATGCTTACTGACTGCTAATAACACTAGCTAGCATTTTTAGGTTTTTCTATAATGAGATTGCCATCATAATCGTGTTCTCCTGGTTAATAACATAGTCTTCATGAGGCTGCATGATAGCATTAAACCATTGAACTACATTGAAATAGCTCTTGATTTATATTAGCTCAAATGACATAGTCAGGCCAGTGCAGGCTTTACTGTAGAAATAACACCATAGAATTTATGACAAAACATTTACAATATTGAAAAGTAGTAAAGAGAATTCCACAAAAATGCTTTTTTATTCATTTTTCAACATCTTTTTAGTGAAATCAGATCTCAAAAAATACTGATATTCCAGGAATGTTATACATTTCCATATAGTTCCAATTATTGCTATTGTTGGGGATGTTAAAAGACAATTATGAAAACTCTAGGACAAAAAGAAAAGAAGGATAAAGTATTGTAAAAAGCAGTGTAAAAAATAAAAACAAACAAAAAAAACCCACCAACAAACAAGAACAAAACAAAACAAAACAAAAAAAACCCCAACAAAACCAATACTGGGTTGGCCCAACTGGCTGGGCTGTTTTTGATAATCTGATAATTATTTGATAAACTGAAGGCAAATTATATCAATAGGCTGTTTTTTCTTGTACTGCCACTTTTTACTGTGCTGATTGCATGATATAAGTTCAAGCTGGTAAAAGTTCAGGTCTTCCTTAGATGCCTGTTACTGTAAGTGAAATTCTACACTTCAGATAAGACATGATACTAAGTTGCAAAACTGTAAATGGTTTCCGTAACAGTGCTTGGTTTCTGGAATTAATTTCTGCTAAAGCCTGTGAGTAAATAAATAAATCTCCCATTCTTTATTTTATATTTTTCCTGAGCCTTTTTATGGGCCTTTTGTTGGAGGGGCCTTATAAGTTTGATGAAATGTATGTCACATAGTGCGTGTTTGGGGTTTGATTTCTGTGGGATCTGGAATTGTACTTGAGTGGCCAAGTAACAGCCTTGTAAGGGTGGTGTACTGTGCTTATTTTGTCTCTTAAACCTGTACTCCAGCAGGACAAGATGCCTATTGTTTCTTTACCTCTGTGTCCTCTTGTAACAGAATGAATATTACTGTAGGTTAGACTTCCTGTGGAAGAACAAGTTCAAAAAAGAGCGGGAAGAGATTGAAACCATGGAGAACCTAAATCGGGTGCTTCTGGAGAACGTGCTTCCAGCCCACGTAGCTGAACACTTCTTGGCAAGAAATCTGAAGAATGAGGTCAGCCATCTCTGTATATCCTCTGCTCTGTAAGAAGGCAGCATATCCTGGAAATACCACTTAATGCTGATTTGAACAGTAGGTCCATACAGTGAGATTATACCTATGGTTTACATTCACTATCGTTCTCCCTTACCTGCCTGAAAGGCTTGCTTTACAGCACTGAGTGCACCTTAGTACCTTAAGTGGCAATGCGCTTTGCCTTTCGAAGAAGGAAAAAAAAGGGTGAGGAGGAAGAAGGGGATGGTTGTATCAACATGGATTTAAATTTAAATCATATGCATTCAGATGTTTTTTTTCTTTGTGGTCCGAGTGGAGCTGCATTCAGGTTCTGAATTTTCTCCTGGTGACTGGAGACCTTGCTTAGTGGAGTGAAAATTAGCCTTTCCCCTGAAACAGCGGCTATGTTAATTCTGGAAAAGATTCTGAACACTGAATTACCTGTTTATTCGCTGCTTATGGACCTAATCCAAGCACCAGAACAATCAACCAAAAGACCTGTGTTGACTTTGGTGGAAATTAGATCTGCTCCTAATATTGCTTTACAGTTTTAATAAGGCAAAAAAAGATGAAAAAAAATAAAAGCATTTAGAGAGTCGCAGTTCCAGAGATCTTAAATGCTATAGCATATATGTTAACGCTACTTGTGCATACCAAACAATTGTTCCAAAACTGACAAAAGAGGGGAGAGGGCAATTTTACAGATTCATTTTTGATCTCCTGAGTCAAAAAGGACAATGTCTTCCCTTTCACTGCGGTTTGCGTTAAGCAGTGCTTATCAATACTTTAGTACTACCTGCAAATATTCATTTGGTAGCTAATATCAAATGAAAACTGCTGTGGGGTTCCTCTGAATCCAGTGAAGACCTTGGCTGGAAGCCAGGTTGGCTCAGCTCCAGTTCTCAGTTCAGGCATTAAACACAGCAAACCATCAGGAGATTGTTTTCTCATTTATGTGCTATTTCATCTCAGCTCCCCAGCAGAGCAACACCATCTGCTCACCTTTGTATTGGCAACTGGATTTATATTGTCACCCCTCAAGATTCTTAGATTGGAATGAGCTTTAGTAAATTTAGTGTAGATCAGAAATTGTAGTACGCTGAGCTCTCCAACCTATCATGTCAGCCAAAGTAAAAATGATTTGACATAATTTTATTGACATCCCTTTAAAATAAAATAAATCTTGAGTTGTTTCTTGTTTTGTTTGTCTTTAAACACAGTTTTCAAAGAGGAAAAAACCTTTCAAATCCTTGGAAATGTTCAGGAATATAAGCTTCTGTCATGTCTTCAGATTTGTTTCAGTGTCAGCAAGGACGTGTTGAGCCTTAAAGGACATTGCGTATGTGTGTACGTGTATACACCTGAGAATATGTTAGGACAGATCAAGCTTTTGTTTTCTTTGTGTGGATATTTAGGTAAACACATCTCAAATTGAAATTTGTCCACATTTTCCTTCATTGCAAACATTCATGTTGATATGGTTTTATGTATATTCTTTTCTGTTTAAACCAGATTTTGAGATGAAAATTAATCTAATAGATGAATAGTCTGTTCCAGAATATTACTTCTCTTAGAATTTTATGCATGCAGCTGTATGGAGAAAAGGGAAGACAAAGTATGCTGCTGAAGAACATTTTTGCAGGAATGAAAGGGGAAAAAATGAGTGGATGAATGCTAACTGGGAGTAGTGGGACTGTACTTTAGGGGACAAGCAAAGGACTTTTCATAACAGGATACACATTGACTAATTCTGATGTGGTAAAAGCAAACTACTTCAGAGCAAATTGTAATAAAGGTTTGTTTGCTTTACCAGAACCTCCGGAACTGGATTTCTGCTTATAGTCTGCATGCTGGGTACCGAACAGGGTGCTTTACAGTTGAGAGGGAGAAAGAAAGGAACAAATGTAAAACAAAATGCAGGAAATGGGGCCAGGATTAAATATATCTGCACCTGGCTTATGCAGCCTTTTCCTTTATGCTGTTAGCATCCAGATCCCTTATTAGTAAAAAGTGCTCAGGAGCTTTTGCGCTGCAGGCTAACCAGCAAGCACATTACAGAGCAAGAGGAATCCTGTTTCATTAGCTGCAGGATAGAGCCAGCACCCTACTTAGAGCAGAAATTCTACCCCAGAGAAGCTGCCCGCCATACCCTTCCAAGAGGTAGAATGGGACCGGTTTGCCTCCTGCATCCTGAGAAGGTCTCTAGACACTGGAGAAGAAGAGGGGACAGTAAAAAGAGCGAACCAGCAAAAATTCAGATGTTATCAAG